TAGTTTTTACTGCAGGTATTTAATATCAGCAAGTTCTTTATTAATCTTTTTGGGCGATTCAATTGTGGTTAAATCGATAATTGCTTTTATTTCTTTTTCTGGGGTAACCAAATCAATTGTTTCAATTATTGTTTGAGTATTAACTGTTGGTGTTGTTGGTGTTTTTTTGCTTATTGATTCAAGCAGTGTTGAGTTTATACTTTCTGAATACTCTATACCTTTGTTGAGTTCATTTTTGCTATTAACGTAAACATTTTCCTTTTCGTTGTCTGTAGAAGTGGTGGAAGAGGCTTTTTGTATAGTAATCGCTACACGAAACTCATTTAAAATGTTACTAGTAGCGGAACGTAATATTTCATTTTTATTATTTTCTCCCAACTTCGTCCGGTCTAAAAATGTCTTCATACTTGGACTTACATCACTGCTAGGATTTAGTAGTTTTTGGCATTCAGATATATTTGATTGAAAACTACGTATTTTTAAGTCTAGTACTGAGGTTGAACCTGACTTTTGTATTTTATTACCACTTACTGCTTTTCCAAGTAAATAACGCTTCTTTAGTTCTAAGCTCTTTTTGGATGCAATACCTTCAGTACTGGCAGTTTTATTAAGTAAATAATCACCTGGACGGGGGTTTTGTAATAGTGCACGATTACTATTTAGAAGTGTTGGATCTACTTGAACTACCCAGTAGAAAACGGATCGATCCGTCATCGAAGATCGATCCAAATGTATGACGGTCTTCGAAGACACTTTCATACAAATTAGCCAAATGTCTTCAATGAATTTTTGTGTACATGTCTCGAAGACCGTCTCGAAGACCATGTCTTGCATAACGGGCGCATTCGACAGAAAGTTGTGCGCTCTTAGTGCAGTGCTCATATAATTTTTTCACCCTTTTTTTATTTCTACTCTTTTATTGCGCTCTTTAAATTTTAAATGAATTTCAATTTTCTCTTTAAATAAGTAGAAAGAAATTGTTGTATTTTGTACTTTTATTTATTTTATATAATAATTTCTTAAATTACATTCAAAATTAAAACTTTTAAAAATAAATTATAAATTTTATTATAAATTATTATAAATTTTATTAAGATATTAATAATAAACTAGTAAAAACTAGTAAACATAATGAAAATTAATTTAAATAATTAACTTAATATAACTAAGCATATCTAAAATTAACTAAAATTAATGTAAAATAATTTATAGCATTTCGTTATCATCAATTGTCATCAATTGGTGAAGTTTTATATGTTTTCAAAAGCGTTGAAGAGGATTTTGGTACAATTAAACCTTCTGATCTTAAGGGTTCTAAAATATTATTACCACAACGCCTGTTAATCCAGTGTTTTTTAAATATAACAGCTAATTTTTCACAAGTGTTTTTAGATTTTTTATTTTGAACATTCCTTGTTTCATTTCTTAAACAACTTTCACTGGAATTATTGTCTTCAATATTAATATCAATATATTTTCCAAGAACTAAGTCACTATTTAATTTGTTTTGATTTAATTTCTTTTTTTTTTTAATATTTCGTAGTTTAATGATTTTGTTTCTTTATTTATTTTGATTTTTTAAATATTTATTTCACTACACTTCAAAATTATTGCGTCACTTCATTTATAAAACATAGCGTCATCTGAGGCAAAATTCAAATACGTTGCTATGAACACTAAAAATGAGAGAGAAAGCAAAGAAAGAGTATTTACATTCATGTTTTGAGCAATTGTTTTGCAAATTTGCTTGAAAATGCGGACGCGGTATCAAAGACCGTCTTGAAGACAATGTCTTCGAAGACCACTTTTTCTACTGGGTAGGGGCTTAAATTGTGGCTGTGGCGGTTGATGTTGTGTTTGATATTTTGCTAAATAGCTACCTTCCCTTAAATTGTGTTTATTGCTTGTTGAAGTAGTTATTACAGCTGATTTTATCTTAAATTAATAAATTTATATTTATAAATTTAATACTTTTATTTGTGACCAAAAATTATTATTATAATAATTTGTTATCGGGCTAATTGGTCAAATTTAAATATAAATAAAAAGACACTAATTTATTATTTATATTTAAAAATCGTTTATACTTTATTTCCGATATTTCGACTATCTTCGATAGTCATCTTCAGGGAAAACTACACAAAATATAAGATGTTCCATTTTTATAGCGGATTATAAAGAAAAATCATACAATAAATACAATAATAATGATGACAACAAGAAAAACAACAATAAAAATACAAAAAGCAAAATAAAAATTATGAAAAAAGCTTTACAAACATCCTGTGTCATTTGTTTATAATATTTCTATAAGCCTGAGCACAGTTGTCCGTATCCGTTTTATAATTAAGTCTTATATTATTGGGCACTTAAAGTATTGAGAGCATTTCCAGAAAGTACCTCTTATAATGGTTCCTTTCTTCATATAAAATTTTTGCCTTATCAAAATCAGGTTCATGTTTCTGCTCCATACAATGTACAGCCAATGCTGTATTGGCTTCAGCACCACTTTTATTTTTTAAACTGTGTTTAAACTGTCCAGCCATCCTTGTCCTAAGCTTATTTTTAGTCGTACCTATATATATTTTGTTACATACGTTGTACCCGTCACCTTTACAATTCAGCTGGTACACTACGTTAGATTTGTCTTTATTATTAATTTTAGTTTTAGTATTGCTATATAATTTAGCTATTGTGTTAGTTGCCTTCTGAGTGATTCTATAACGTTCTTTGTCATATATATTAGAATTCATTATTTGGTTTGACAATTTCGGAACATAATCAATAGATTTATATATTTTTTTGTCATTATTATTGTTTGGTTGGAGCTTTTTAAAGTTATTATTAAGCATCATATTAATAATCCTTTCGGGGAAGTTATTCTTTCTTAAAGTATCACGTACTATGTTCTTTTGTTTATTATGGAAAATTTTGTCACTAAGTACTAGAACTCTTCTAATAAAATTGGATGCTGTATTTAAAATCACGTGATTCACGTGATGAATCGTGATTTTAAATACAGCATCCAATTTTATTAGAAGAGTTCTAGTACTTAGTGACAAAATTTTCCATAATAAACAAAAGAACATAGTGCGTGATACTTTAAGAAAGAATGACTTCCCCGAAAGGATTATTAATGTAGGACATTGATTTTCATTAAGCAATCGCAGTTAAAAGGATCAAGATCATTTACTTCAGAATAAAAGAAAAAAGAAAAGTTTTAAAAATGACGAAGAGATGTTCATTGAAAAAGCAACAAAAAATCATCGATTTGAGAGAGAAAGGATATTCCCTAAGACATATTGCTAGAACAACTAAAGTTTCTAGAAGTATTGTAAGCAAAATTGTTAAGACCAACGAAGAAGAAAACAAAAGGAATAATGACGCTCAGAATAATGTAATATCATAAGATAAACCACGTATAAGAGTATTAATACCGAAGGAAATAAATAACGCTTACATTGTACGGAAAATAATGAAAGTGCTACGAGAAGTACAATTCGATAACGAAAGTGATGATGATGGGCCTGAAGTTTCTTCTAATAAAAAAGGACGCAGAGAGATTGATTTCGAACGCAAACCTGTAACGGAATTCAAACAATTTTCTAATGACAATTCAAATATATGTGTTATTGAGCTGTCAGATGAGGAATGAATATAAATTTCAGAAGAATCATATCAAAAAAAGAGATATTCCAATTAATCTCCAATTTTTAATTAAATTTAAATTTGCAATAAAAATAGATACAATCACAGTAAACCCTATATCTTCTAATTTCTAAAAATTTAATTGTACTTTTGTATACCTACTTAAAATTTATTTGTGCTACTAACTAAATTAAATTAATTTAAATTTCAAAATTATTAAATTTAAAATAAATGCAAAAAAAATTTTAAAAAATGTATAACGCAATGTTTTTGAAAATAATTCTCACTTAATTGCAAAAACTATCTATGTAATGAAGAAATTAATATAATTTGTAATTAACAAAAAATATCTATATCAAATAATGTCTATTTAATATTATCAATGTTTATGTGTTTTTAAAAAAATTAAAAATAAATTTGAAATCATAAAAATTAAATAAAATTATTTTAAAATAAAATTAATAAATTATGTGTTTTTACAATAATATAAAATATAAATAATAAAATTAATTTATTTGAGCTATTAATTAAAATAATTTATAGCTTTAATTAAAAAAATTTGAATTTCAAAATAATTAAATTTAAAATAAATGCTAAAAAAATTTTAAAAAAATGTTTTTGAAAATAATTCTCACTTTACTGTAAAAACTATCTATGTAATGAAGAAGAAATAAAAAAGAATTTAATATGATTTGTAATTAATTCGTTTATTCGTTTATTATTAATATAATAATTCTATTATTAATAATATTATTAATTCGTTTATATGTATTTAAAAATATTAAAAATGAAATTTTGTTTATAAAAAAGAAAATTTGAAATCATAAAAATTAAATAAAATTATTTGAAAATAATATTAATAAAATTTTTTTAAGTTTTTTAAGTAATGTAATATATAAATAAATAATATTAAATATATAGATTAGTCATTTATATGAATATAATTGACTAATCATCGCTTCTAATTTGACAGGCACGAGTTCTAAGCCTGGCACTTGCAGTTCAAACAAATTATATAGGGACTATAAAGTAATTAAATAAAATTCGATTATTTCCTAAGACCACTGATGAAGAATCCTTGGCAATACTCGATACAGCGTTGTATGGTCAGCCAAATTTCAATAAAAATAAAAATAAATTTTTGTGTTTGTCCTTTATTTCTTTCTTTGCTTTTCGAAAAAATCTCTAAATTTTAAATAAAGCTTCTTAGTTACTGAAGTAAATACAACCGACACGATTGACAGTTTATATTTAACTAAATTTTGTTTACATTTCATTACTTAAGATTGCTTAAACTAATGCAAAACATACTAGATTATAACACTTTCTCCGCCCTTAATTTTTGACAAAGTTTAAGTTTTCCTGAAATCGTCGGATTCAAATCGAATTACATCCTTCCGAATACGACTTTTTCGAAGTTGAACTACTTCGGTAGAACGTTCTTCACTAGGCATTAATGTTGATTGGCTAGATGAAGGCGGTGTGGCGTTGATGAAATTTGGAGCGAATTCAAAAATTGGTTGTGAAGAGAGGTCAGAGCTACTTCTAGTTTTAAGCTGATTAACGTGACGTTTGATGTAACCAAAAGATGTGTTCACTCTGTAAACCATTTTACCAAGTTGTTTCATAATAACTCCTTTTATCCATTTTTCCCCTCTTGCGTAGTTTCGAGCGAAGACGGGTTGCTTTAGACTGAATTTCATTTTCCGTTTCGAAGCTTCAAGGTGCTTCCTAGGCGATTCAAACAGTTGATTCAACAGATTACGAACAGGCCTTCCATGTAAAAGTTCTGCAGGTGATTTACCTTCAGCATTCGGTATTGCACGATATGTTGCAAGGTATTTTGATACAGCGAATTTGAGAGACAATCCATCGTCAATGTTTTTCTTAACAGCAGTTTTAAAAGATCTGACGAATCGTTCGGCTAACCCGTTTGAGGCTGGATGAAACGGCGCTGTTGTTATATGTTTGATGCCAAGTTTTGAGCAAAAATGTTTAAATGCTTCAGCTGTAAATTGCGGACCATTGTCACTTACGATGGTTTCTGGTATACCTTCCAGAGAAAATATAGAAGACAATGCTGATATGGTGTCAACCGTTGTTGTTGTAGATAGTTGTACAACGAACGGAAATTGCGAGAAAGCGTCGACACAAATTAGCCACATTGAATTACAAAATGGACCAGCAAAGTCGATATGTACTCTCTCCCAAGGTCGATCAGCTTCAGGCCAGCTTACGTATTCACGTGCGTGAACAGGATTTGCAATTTTGCACACATCACAATTTTCAGTTAATTGTGCGATGTCTTTGTCAATATTAGTCCACCAGACATGTTGTCGAGCTAGCTGTTTCATTCTCGATACTCCCCAATGACCATCATGAAGAAGTTTAAGAACTTTCTGCTTAAGGGAGACTGGAATGACAACCCGGTTGTACTCCGTCTGGAGGCAAAGTAAATTGTTGTTTAGTATTAAAGCAAAGCGATGATTGAAAAATGATCGAAGATCAGCATCTTGAGGCATTAGCTTTTCAGGCCAACCGTTTGTAACGAGAAAATAAACTCGGTGAAGAATTAGGTCATTTTTGGCATGCTGACGAATTATTTCAGCGTCGATAGGTGTGTTAAGTTCATTGATATTGAAACAGGATTCTTCATGATCAAAAGTTTTATCTTCACCAACAGGTAAACGAGATAAAGCATCGGCATTTCCATGCTCAGTAGTTTTACGATACCGAACATCATACTGATAAGCCATTAGTATAATAGCCCATCGCTGTAAACGATGTGACGTTATCGACGGCAACTGATGAATTGGATTAAAAATGCTAACAAGAAGTTTGTGGTCAGTAACCAAGGTGAATCTTCTTCCGTATAAATATTGATGGAAACGCTTGACTCTAAAAACGATAGCTAGCCCTTCCTTCTCTATCTGACTATATCGTCGTTGATGAATGTCGAGAGTTTTAGATGCAAAAGCAATAGGCCTTTCTGTACCGTCAACGTACGTATGCGAGAGCACGACTCCTATGCCATGAAGGAGGCATCTGTAGCTAGAATCAACGGTAAATCTTCCTGATAATGTGCTAATTGCGCTGCGTTGAGAATATGCGTTTTAAGAGCTATAAATGCTTGTTGTTGTGCTGTACCCCATGTGAATTTTACATTTTTTCGGCGCAGCATGTTGATTGGCGCGGATAATTGCGAAAAATTAGGTATAAAATTATGGTAGTAGTTTACCTTACCCATGAATGCTTCTGCTTGCTTTAGATCTTTAGGCGGCTGCAGGTTATTGACTGCTTTTAGTCCTGACTCATCTGGCAATATACCTTTTGCACTAATTTAACGCCCGAGATATTCGATTTTATCTCGCAGAAAGAAACATTTTTCTTGTTTGCACCTAATACCATTTTGTTGCAAAATACGAAGTACTTGTTCTAGGCGGCTGATGTGTTGTTGAAATGTAGGTGCGGAGATGATGATGTCATCGAGATAATTTCCGCAACCTTCTACGCCTTGAAGTAACTGCTCAAGATATCTTTGGAATATAGCTGGAGCGCTTGCAATCCCAAACGGTAAACGTTGGTATTGGAATAACCCAAGTGGAGTGTTGACAACTATTATTGTTTTTGCTTTATCGTCGAGTTCCATTTGTAAATACGCGTCCTTAAGGTCGATTTTTGTAAAATGTTGACCGCAATTAATTTCATGGAAAAGACTTTCGCGTATGGGCAAAGGATATTGTTCAATGTCAATTTGCGCATTGACTGCTTGTTTAAAATCCCCACAAATTCTTATGAAACCATCAGCTTTTGGCGCTAGTACAATAGGCGAAGCCCATTGAAAAAACTTCACAGGTTTCCAAATACCCGCATTTGTCAATCGATCGACTTCTTTCTTGAAAAGTGACATTTGCGAAAATGGAATTTGTCGGCTTTTGTAAAATTTCGGATGTGCATTTGGCTTTAAAAAAATACTGACCTTAAAGTTTTTTATTGTGCCAAGAGCTGGTTCAAAAATATCACCATATTTCTTACACAGCTCGCTAATTTTGTGTGATTCACTTTCAGTAATGTTACAAATTTGCTGAATCTCAAACCCGAATTCTTTAAATAAATCGAAACCGAATAAATTGTTACAGTTTTCGACATCCACGACAACGATTACCACTGAAGTAAATACAACCGACACGATTGACAGTTTATATTTAACTAAATTTTGTTTACATTTCATTACTTAAGATTGCTTAAACTAATGCAAAACATACTAGATTATAACACTTACTTTACAAAGAAAGCGAGTACTTTATTCTTTTTTTTTTTTTTTTTT